GCTGAAAGTTAATATTTATTTAGAGTATCGTTGACGTGAAAATGTAGTTTAAATTTTATTTTATACCAGTTACATCGTTCAATGATTATAGCAAAATTTAATCGTTAAAACGTAATACAACAATGTTGAAAAGAAACAATAATTTGGTAAAATGTAGTGATAAAATAAAGATTTCAATAAATATCAATTCACAGTTAATTTATTCTTATTCACTAGCCTCTGCAAAATTTTAAATGTTAATTTTCTTACTACAACCTATATAGCGATGTTGTATAAATATATTATTTTTATTATTTTAGTTGTTTCAGGAAATCAAGCAGCAACAAATCAGATAAATCCTAACCAAGATCAACAACAAACACAGGCTCTATCCCAAGCTCAAGCTCAAGCTCAAGCTCAAGCTCAATCCCAAACTCAACCGCAAGCGCATATCCAAACTCAATCCCAAGTCCAAAGCCAAGCTCAAGTTCAAGTCCAAGCCCAAGCCCAAGCCCAAGTCCAAGCCCAAGCCCAAGCCCAAATTCAAACCCAAACCCAGGCTCAAGCTCAAGCTCAAGCCCAGGCCCAGGCCCAGACCCAGGCCCAGGCCCAGGCCCAGGCCCAGGCTCAGGCTCAAGGAGCCCAAGCACAAACTCAACAGTCCCAGGCCTTACAGCATCATACTCAAACACATCAGATAGCTATAACGCAACAACAGCTCCAGCAACAGGGTCTCCTTGTCGCCGCGCCACGGCAAATCGTTGTCCAGCAAAGCCTTCAACCTAACAATCAACTCGTCACCATCCCGACAATGAAGTCTCCACGACAGACTCACCAGATACAGCCGCAAGTCCTGCAAGTTCAGCAAGGTCCCTGCGGTCAGACGCACTACGTTATATCTGGCGCGGTACCCGGACAAAATTACGTACTCGCTCAACCGCAAACGGCGCTCGTACAAGGGCAGGCACAGACGGTTCTGGTGGCTCAGCAGCAAGGAACAAACACCAAGACGATCATTATACTACAACCTCAGGCGGCGACTCAGCCACAGACCCAGAAAATGGTTGCGGTCACGCCGCAGGGTCAGCAAGTTGTCGTGACGCAGGTTCGTTATATATCTTCATTTATGGGGATGATTTTGAATGATATTTTGAAGTTGATGGGATAAAGTTGAATACTAGAGATGGCTGAAGGGAACTCGATATTCTATAAAACGCGCGCAATTCTACTTCAGGTGCCAAGACCGCTGCTACAAAGTCCAGCCGTGGGTAGCATTCCACCACCCCTAGTTCCCACATCGGGAGCCATTACTCAGGCGTCCATCGTCGTAAATAGTGCCGTGGCTCAGCAAATCCAGCAGCAACAGTCGCAGCTGCAGAATCCACAAAACCAAACGAGCGCGAATGTGGCGGCTGGTCAGGCGCAGCAGACGTCGAGCTCCGTACCAACGCGAATCGTCACTCAGTCACCAGCTACGACACCACCACCTATGAGACCCACGACGCCACAGCAACAAAGCTCTGCTGCTCCGGTAAAAACACAACAACAACACGCATCGACACCTCCCTCTTCATCGCCATCTTTAAAGGATGCAAAAGACGCGAAGTCGTCAGCCAACCAAGTTAATTCGGCGGATGCGGATAGCCGCAGCAATAAATCCTCGACGATGCACGATTCGAATGCGACGGGGCCGAGCAACATGTCCAAAACCATTACGATTAAAATCGATCCCAATGCCTTCCTTTGCGAATGGAGAGGATGCCTAAGGTAACTTCTTGGTTTGCTCAACTTAAGATCATCCGCGCGTTCAGTCACCTTTCAATACCTTTCCTTCCAGCCCCTAAGCATGCTGGTATCATCAATAACTAGTTATTGATAATCCGTTAAATATAAATTCACGCATTACAGAATAATAATTCCCTAAGAGCTCTAGATAAATGTACGTTGGATAAAATTATCCGATAAATAGATTTTTTTGTTAAAAAAAAAAACAAAACAAAAAAATACAAAATCTCAGAGACCGAGTCCTTCAATATGTCAATATGGATATTTGTTATTTTTCTAGGCAATTTAAAACGCCGCGTAAAGTTTATTTACACGTTTGCGAAGCGCATTGCCCAACCGGAAGCGAGGAAACGCTCTGCCTGTGGGCGAGTTGTGACGCCTTGAAGCGACGAAGATTCTCCTTAATGACGCACTTATTTGATAAACATTGCTCCGACGATGTAAGTACAACAATAATTTTAGCAATAATAGAGAGAATGATAGCTTATAATAAGCTTAAGGTCAACTATATTTTGATCGGTAACTCGTTGTCACACAAATGCTTGAGAGAGAGTCTATTGGAATTTCCAGGTCATGCTTATACGACAGAAACAGTTGACTCTATCAGGTAAAACTGAACTATCAACCACAACGGTTCCCGCGTCAGCCCATCATCCAGGTTACGCGCCAAATGCTGCATTTCATGCTATCAAAAGGCACGCTTTAGAATTTGTCAATCCAAAGGAATTGATGGTAAGAATTTAAAATCGACTTTAAACACTAGACTTTTTTAAATTATTCTTTTTATTAAAATAAGTAATTAAATCAAAACAAAAAAAAAAAAAAAAAAAAAAAAAAAAAAAAAAGAAACAAAAAAAAAATTAAAATAAAATAAAAAATAAAGACTTTAGTGCTAATGTAGATATTTTAAATTCTGCGATTTTCAATTTCAATGTTCGAATTATTAAGGGGGCAGTCTTGAATGATTTTTCTATATCTTAATATATAGGCGCGTAAATCAGTGTTGTCGTAGTAAACATTCAACAACAACAACAACAACAACAACAACAACAACAACAAGAACAACAAACAACAATAACAACCGAAATTCTTTAATCTAAGCACAAAGAAAATGAAATAAATAATAAAAGAATAAAAAACAAACAAAAAAAACAAACAAACAAACAAACAAACAAACAAACAAACAAAATATCTTTGATAACCTAACGATCGAATTTCTTGTTCTCCTCGGCAAAGCAGCAAAGGCCATCCAAGCCCGCTGCGGCCAACACTAGCTCCTCTTCCCCCAGACTCGGGCAAAATCCTCCGCCGGAACAGGTAACGACGAGTTAGAATGCCAAAAACAAAAAACAAAAAAACAAAAAAAAAAAAGACAAAAAAAAACAAGAAAAAAACAAAAGACAAAGTAACCAGCTAAATAATAGACGAGCTGTTCTTTCATATTAGATGTGCAGTTCTTGTGCGCGCTGCCACGTGTTTTTTTGCTTTGAAAATTTGATTGTTTCGCCTTTTTTCCATATGTACTTTTTTTTTTTTTTTTTTTTTTTTTTTTTTTTTTTTAAATTATTATCATTATTATTATTATAATAATACCTTGGCGTTCCATGGGAGATGTGAAAGTTCGACAAAGTATAATTTGTCGGTTTTTAAGACGTCGGTTGTGAAGATGTTGTTTTCTTAATTCATAAAATTATGTCTGAATATGGTTAAGATGGAGCGTAAATTAAGTCAAATACCTTTGATTACTCGAACATTAATTAAACAAAACAGCTTGGCTTATTTTGTTATTGTGCAAATGAAACGTCGTGAATGTCGATTAATCGCTCGGAACAATTGGTGGTAGAAGGCGCTGATACGTATATCAGTTTTTCTTTATTTAATTTTTTTTTTGCTTTCTTTTCGTCCGGAGCTCTCAGCTTATAAAATTCAATTTTCAATCGATCCAAACGAAACGCTCATGCAAATTTGATAAATTGCCAAGTGATGCGTTGAAATGCGAAGAAGAATATACGATTCACGTTATGTTGATCGTACGAAATTTTCGGCACTTTCACATCTTTTCCTCTCTCAGCATGATCAATCCTTTCATCATACAATCCCTAAGCTTTATTCGAGAAACGATTTTTTTTTTTTATTTTTTTTTTTATTTTTTTTTTTTTTTTTTATAGTCATTATGTATCGCAGTTCGTTTTCACATACAACTTCATGTTTGTTTCATTTATTATTTAAGTCTATGGAATCTTAATTTTATTATACTACCTTTATAATAATAATTGAGATCAATCATTTTTATTATCGTTTTTGTTTTTCAATAATTGTGTTTAGCATGCTTTTGTAACTAATGCACATAGTTCGTATCAGCTGTATTTATTCACAAATGATGTTTGCACGACTGCTTCTTCTCTTTTGTACTTTTTTCTCACTCTTTTTTTTTTTTTTTTTTTTTTTTTTCATCTTTTTTTTTCCCTTTCTTTTTTCCATTATCGTTTATTTCCTTTTGTCATTTACAAAATGTTGTGCTCTGTGTTTGACACAAATCCAGTTGTTCTGCGGGTGAAATCTCATTCATTTGCAATTATCATTTAATAATTTTTAATTATTTTGCCTTTGACAAAGACGTTTTATATACCATCAATAATATCATAATAATTGTTTCTTTTCTTTTCTTTCTTTTTTTTTTTTTTCTTTTTTTTTTTCTTTTTTTGCAGGATGATAACGAAGGACCTGTTACGAAAAGTATTCGCTTGACGGCAGCTCTTATTCTCAGAAACCTAGTCATATATTCCGCGCATGGTAGGAGGTACGAATCCCAATTCAATTATTATTAATAATTATATATCATTATTGCGAGTTGGCGAATTGCAATTTCCAATAATATAACTTCCAACCACTCCAGCGTCATTCACGATAAGAGCATTTTCATTGATGTAGCGCGCGAGATTAAATAACTACTTGGATTAATTGGATTAATGAACACTGGTATTACATATGGCTTGCAAATATAATCATAAAAAACTCATTCGTTAATTAATCCAAATTAATTGATGAGATAGTATGATAATGATGATGATAATAATAAATAATGATCACGCTAAGTAATTTTGAAATGACAATTTAAAAATCACAATGAAATTAAAAATACGATACGACAGTAGTATCATATAGACTCGAGAAAATGTATTTTATCTTCCTCGCATTTCGTCCCGTCCCCCTACCCTCCCCTCCCCTCCCTAATTTTATATCGATTATTTGCATTACTAAGAATATTTTATGTCTCTTCGACTTTCGCACAGACATCTTCGAGCATATGAACCGCACTTGGCCGGCGTAGCGTTGAGTAATGTCGAGTCGTCCCGGACAATCGCACAAGTCCTCTATGACATGAACGACCAGAGCAGCAGTGGTCATAGGTGACCTCTTGAAATGGGCGTCCAAGGGAAAAGTAATTTCGATACTTAACTCGAGCACTGATCAACTCGACAAAATAATTCTGATGGACAAATGTGAGCTAATTAGCCGGCTCTTAACACTGCAACAAGAGCACGAATTTACGGCGATGCGACAACGATTTAACGGAGAGGTAGGACGAGGGGTTTGTTAATTTGCGACTATGTTCCATAATCGTTAAGGCGGGAAGAAAGTAAATGAGAAAATGGAAAAATGGAAAAATGGAAAAATGAAAAAAAGTTTTTAAGACAACTGAGTTGGCGCGCATGATGATTATGAAGAAAGAGGCCTATAAACTTACTAGGCAAACCACTTTGCCAATAATCTAGCACATACGGATTGTATAAACTAATTAGTGGGTTGATTTGTGACGAAAAAAAAAAACAGGAAAAAAAAATAAATAAAAATAAGATAAAAGAAGAAGGAAAAAAAAAGAGTACGGTGTTTGTGAGTGACGACGAAAGCGTAAAGCCAGAATTTGATGATAATAAGTGAGGGATTTTAGAGGATGATTATCAAATGGACAGAGTGATTTGAAGAAGAAGAAGAAGAAGAAGAAGAAGAAGAAGAAGAAGAAGAAGACAAAAAAAACAAAAATAATAAGAAAAAAGAATGTGAAAGATGAAATAATATTTCAGATTTAATATTAATATTTATTTTCTCAATGAAGGCGGCAAAAAAGGTTTTTATTGTGTACAAAAAGGACAAGGACAAAAAGAAAGCGAAAGCAGTGGTAAAACATGAATAATACTTTACGAACGTTATAGTTTAATTATAATGCATTAATGTTATTGTGTATGAACTATGTTTTTCTGTATCTCTCTCTCTCTCTCTCTCTTTCTTTTTTTTTTTGTTTTTTTTTCTTGTTCCCTTTTTTTCGTAAGCCACGGAAAGAAGATCGCATTAGAAAAAAGCCTTTTTATTGATTGTATTTTTAGGAAGTGTATAATTTTTTGCTTACTGAATTGCATGTTGCAATTACATGGTTATACCATCGTCTCTCTTTTTGTTTTTATTATTTTAATATAATCTTCGAGATTCACCATAGAATCCAAAAACAAACAAAAAAAAAAAACAAAAAAAAACCAAAAAAAAAAAATAACGAGAAAAATGATATCCTTTGAATTTCCACCATCCACACGATTTAGTTTATAAAAGTTCCAAACTCCTCTCGAGTTTGCGCCTCCGATAATAACGTTTTTTCACATTCATTTTGCATGGTTTCGAAATGTCATAAAATGGTGCGTGAATTATTTTACAGTGAAAGGAATTTTTATTGAGTTTCAATAAATATGATAAACCACTTTTATATAAAGTAGATACAATTAAGAATTTTTGATGAATTTTTTTTCTAGACGACACGATACTGTTTACACAAAAATGACACGTATTGCATTTATGTAACTATCATAATTTTTTTTTTTCTTTTTTTTTCTTTTTTTAATCTTAGGTCTCGAAGGGGAGCAGTGTGATGTGAATCGAATGGAGATTGAATGAATTGTAAGTGCGAGCAAAAGAGAGAATGTAATAACTTTGTAAAAAGAAATGATTGCAGCACGACTTCGTTATAAATGAGAAAAATAATGTCAGCACATGCATAAAACATAATTGTAAATAATAATATCTGTATTTCATTTGCAATGTGAAATTAAAAGAAAGCGATGTACATTTATTTTTTCTCTAGAAGTCCATGCGATGATAGATTAATGAACATTAAAAATCGTTGTGACAAAACAAATGTGCAAACTTCGAATCAGACTAACCGATAATTAAAATAAATTTCTTTGTATTATACAAAAAATAAAAACGATCTTCTATTAAAACGAATTATTAAAATGTAAACGTTTTTGTAAGTATAAAAAATATGTACCAAGAAATAAATTACCGAGTCATCATGGAGCCAAGATCAACATTATGGATTATACGCGGATCTCAATCATGTATTTTATATAAAAATATGAAAATGTAGAATATAAAAAAGACTTCAATGGGTAACAAAAAGTTTTCAAAAAAAAAAAAAAAAAAAAAAAAAAAAAAAAACAAACAAACAATACCATTACCAATTAATTTTTAATTTTTATTATTTTCATTTACAAAAGAATTACTTTAAAATTCATCATCACTTATAATTCTTAATTTTTATTACTTTAATTTACAAAAAAAAAAAAAAAAAACACAAAAAAGAGTTAACATTGGATGTCGTCCTTACAATACGTCCATGGAGTACTAGAATTTTCGTCAAACGGATGCAAACAATAATATTTAATGGACTTGTTTATAAATCTCGGATTATAAATAGTAATGGAGGCACTTGTTAATCTCAAGTTTCGTTTAATAATATGAGACTACAATTTATCTAATGACGCATAAGACAAGGTATTACGCCTCTGTCCTGTTCTAACTCAAGTTAAAAAAATCTCTTTGTCGTCGATCAGAATATAATTACAAAAAAATACACAAGTTTATTCATCCCCGCTATAAACGCGTCGATCAGGCGACGTTACTCGCTCGCTCCCTCACACTCCTCATTGCGAATCATACGAGGACGTACGACTAGGCGCAGGTGCGTTCAATTCACATTAAAAAAGAAAAAGCCAAACTCATTGTTAAACTGCAGCAATCATCCTCGGCAATGGAGCGCAACGACGCCAGCAGCCGTAGCCATTATCCAGCCATTATCCATTCGATTAATCGGCATACCCGAGCTTTTGATCCTTCCGCTCTGCCAAGTCGCACATTATATCATTGCGCAGGCGATCGATCTTCTGCTGAATGGATTGTACGTGGGGGCGCGAGACGTCGTTCGACCTTGTCTCATTCAACTTGAGGTCGCAAGCACTCGGCTCTCCATTTAATCCGCGAGTTCGTAGCTTCGGTAGCGACTTGTACTCGGTCTTGCTCGTTATGTTCGAAGATTCCGAGTCCACGTACTCCATGTCTTTCGACGACGACAGCCCGGGATTCAGGGGCATGCCCATAATTTTGTCGGATCTTCGGCAGCTGCGATTCCATCCCGTGCTCCCATTCAAATCATTAAAGTCGTTGGTGTTCTTACGCGGCGTCGAGGAGTGGATTCGCTCCTCGTCATCGCGATGATACACGAAGCTCTGTAGGCTGAGCTTTTCCGTGGGTAGAGTCATGTCATCGTCGGAGTTGACGAGCATACGGTGGTGGTCCTGCGACCTCGGCTGCTTCGAGCATGTCGGTATGGCACGCCGATCATCGGCCGAGCGGCGCTTGTTTATGATCTTAAAATGCTCGTTGATGTTTTGGGTGTAGCGTTGGATGTCGGCGAGGATCTCGAGAAGCCGCCGAGCCGAGGTGCTGCCGCTGACGTTTACACTGTTATTATTAATCTGCGGGGAGCGTGTGGTCACGGGCCAATCGTCACCGTCCTCCTTCTTCTCCTCCTCCTTCTTCTCCTCCTTCTTCTTCTCCACCGCCACCACCTCCTCCTTCACCACCTCCTCCTCCTCCTTAGAGCAACGGCGGCGGCGCGTCTTACGTACCGGTGTTGGCTCGTTGGCCCCGATCTGCTCGCATTTCGATGCACAGTGCTCGGCATCGCGGTCCGTGTTACTATATATTCGTTCGCGTTTCGCGCTCCTCTCCTCCAGGAGCTTATTTACCAGGTTCAGCGTTTGGAGCATCCAGTAGGGGGGCGTGTGTTGCTTGATTTTGTTAAGTAGCTGGCATTGGCAAACCGTTGAATTATTCGGGTTGGCCTTCGGATATCCCGGGCTCTCGTTTATTTGTCCCTGCGAATTTCTCTCGTTCGCGCACGTGTCATTATGGCTTCGGTCGCACAGCGCCGCCGGGCCCTCGTTAATTTTCGCGATATTATCGAGGTTGTTAATGCGAGGGCTGTTGGTTTCGTGAGCAGATGAGAAAGCGCTGTCGATCGAGATCGAGGTCGAGGTCGAGGTCGAGGCTGTCTTAGATTTGTGGACGGCTGTTTCGGCGGAGAGTCGCTTATTAAAGCAGCGGCCCTCATCGTTGTATGGGGTTTGGGTACCGGAGGTTCGTTGGTTCTCCGGGATGATGTAAGCTATACCGCATCTGGATGTCAACGGAGATACATTATAATGGATTGCCGACCCGTTAAGCGCCGGTGCATTACTTAAATGATAGCATTCAAGTCAATGTTATAACTGTCGGGTGATGAGTTAAGTGATCTGCAAACATAAAGTCATCAAGAGTATATATATATATATATATATATATAGATTTGTGCGTTTAGTGATATTAAAAGTTATTATCGCGTTTGTCGTGACGTTAGTAGTGAATTGACGATTAATGATTTTAAATGGATTGGGATTTTATTTTTTTTTTTTTTCCTTTTGCGACTGGAAGATAATGGGATGGTGGGCCTAAGTCAATTTTTCATTCGACGTTCTACGATCTATACGCGACAAGTCCCGATGGTCGTTTTTGTACTACGGACTTTACGGACTTTTACCAAGATGTCACCATCCATTTACAACCGCGACCTTGAATAAACGGTCGATTAAAAGTTTGAAACATATTTTTTTTTCTTTTCCAAGGATAATGTCGTTTTACATCCAATTGTCATAATCGTTTAAAAAATTTGGATAAATTCTTGTCGAAGGCTTTCGAAGAAACCAATGTTTTCGCGATCATTGTCCAGTGTAGCTAGCTAGTTGGTTGATACCGATGCAGGTCGCTTAATAATCACCAAGAGAATAGATCAAATGCGTACATTCTACCTGTGCGTATGCTGCTTCCACACTGGCTCCGTCACTTCGCATTGGCAACATTTCAGTCGATTCGGTTGCGCGAAGCAGACTTTATTTTTATTATTAATGTTCTCGCTCTTACGACATGATCGTTCGGGACTATTTACAAAGGAATTGAAAACATATAAAATTTCTTATGTTTTTATCGATGTTTTTTTTTTGTTTTTCTTTTCCCTCTTTTCTCTCTCTCTCTCTCTCTCTCTCTCTCTCTCTCTCTCTCTCTCTCTCTGTTCTTTTTTTAATATTAAACAAACCAAAGAATTCTAATGGGAATGTTAATGGGCGGGAATATGTGTGTTCGATAAATTTCGATAAAAATTCATAATTACAAATACATTATTCATACATGGCTGTATAAAATTTTCAGAGCTTGAGCCGTTGGCCAGCTTAATGCATTTGGTTGGAAAGTTGAAAAGTGTTGAGAAAGGCAGAACGTTTTTCAATAAACCTAACGGATTCTTTTCCCCCCCCCCCCCCCCGCCTCAACACTTCTAACAACCATGTCATCGTTCGTTTGGTACACTTCACCCAATTGCAACGATAAACAATTTTATACGAATGTGAAAAGTTAGCGTGTATTTATTTACCTGTAGTTGCTTTCTTGCAACTTGGCTCTTTCAAATCTTTCGTTGGTAACTTGCCGACGAAGTTCGCAAATCTGCTTATTGTACTCGGCCGCCTGAGTCTGATACTTTCGCAGTTCCGTCGATTCGGTACTCCTACAAATACAAAGTTAGCCTTAGCAATGTAACGGGAGGAAGCGTCTTGCAAACACGAAAAAAAAAAGAACCAAAAACAAGCAACAACAACAACAACAACAACAACAACAACAAAAATATAAAAAAAAAAAAAAACAATCAATGCTAATTCATCAGTGGGAAATCGATAGTCGCAACGAGTGCTCGTGTAAAGTTACAATTTGTTCTGGAGCTCGCAGATCCTCTGCTTTAGCCTATTGACTTCGCATTGCAATTCTCGCGTATTGGTCTGGGAAGCCATGGTCTCTTTGCGCGAGTCCTCCAGTATTTTTTCGAGTCGATTGATCGTTATGTGATCCCTGTTCATTTGGTCTTGAAAAATTTCCTGCTCTGATTTGAATCTCGAAATTTGCACTTCATACTGAAAACGAAACGGAACATTGTTAAAATACGACAGTTGAGTACTTTTAGTGTTTATTTATTTATTTAAATCTTCATCATCATCATCATCATCATAATCATCATCATCATAATCATCATCATCATCATCATCATCTTCTTCTTCTTCTTCTTCTTCTTCTTCTTCTTCTTCTTCTTCTTCTTCTTCTTCTTCTTCTTCTTCTTCTTCTTCTTCTTCATCTTCTTCTCATTATTATTATGAGAGAGATGGACATTTTTATATAGACAGTCGATTGTGTACCATCGAGAATCGCCTTTGTTAATTATGCATTTGCGCCCATGAATTCACTATATTCTTTAACGATTCATAATAATACTAAACTCTACTCGCTTCTTAATTTATAATCCTTACGTTCTCTCGCTAAGCGGTGTTTAGCATTAGCATACAGATTTCCTGATTATATTATAACGACGAACAAACAACAAAATACAAATAATCGTAATACTTTTATTGTATCGCAGCAGAACACAGCTCCTAAATTTCTTCTTTCGAACGTGCTTCATGATCGAATAATGAATAACCCTGATATTCGCATTGGTGAGATAATACTTGTAATTTATAAAAATTATTAGCGAAGATGGTTTTTAAATACAGTTTAGGAGTTTTATTAACAAATAATACAAGAATTGAGTGTTAACGCAAATGTCTCCGACAAATTTACAAGTTCACACGAGGTTCGAGGTTAATCATTAAAGTTGAAAATATAAAATTTATGTACTGAATACAAATTGGGAAGGGGGATGAACGGGGATAGGGGAGGAGGCAAGAGAAAAAAAAACAAGCAAACAAACAAGAGACGGTAAAACAGAAATATTTGTCAGTACTGCCAATGAATATTAGTCAGTAACGACCTCTGCCTCGGGTCGCTCTGCCTTATCATCGCATCGCAAGCTGCGCCGATATCGATTAAAACAAAGTTAATACAAAATTAGGCTTAAGGACATCTTTAATGAATAAGGAGTGTCGAGTGTCGGATTAAAAAAAAAAATTTTTTTTTACCATCGCCAAAACAATCTTACAATATGTAGTGCGGAAGGCTAAAGTGTCCATACCATACACGCTCGAACGTATGATTAAGTCGAGTAAGCTTTTTTCACCCCTCCCACCCCCCACCCAACCCCATCGGCATCCCACTGTCGTTCATGAATTCGCAAGCGCACTGGTAGACACAGTACCTCGGTCTTGGTCTCGCTGTCATCCTCGATCCGCTGCGAGAGACACTCCTTCTGCTGCTCGAGGCTCATGCAGAGGTCCCGGGCAGTCCTCAGGTCGTTGTTGACGCGGTGATGCTCGTCCATCGCCTGCTGTAACTGGATCTCGAGGCTGGCCACGTTCTGCGAGAGCTCGGTGATCTGCAACGAAGGCCGATTTTGGCTTGTATTATCGCTCGTCCGCGCACCCCCTCGCAACGCAATCGATGCGGTAGCGGCTCGCGTAAATCGGCCCGTTAAGCAAACCAACTTTTCCCACCTCGCGTTGCGTTCGTCTGCTTTCAAGGTGGGATTGGAGGCGCGATAATATCGGATAATAAAAAGCGGTCGCTTGGTTACAGTGACACGGAGCCTCGGCACGAAGTTCCTCGCGTCAATATAACAATTGCGACCGGGCGAGGATAGATCCTGTTCGTTAACCGGGTTGGCTTATAGGCGAGAGGCGAGGTTCTCATTTACCTGGCTCTCGTATTCGTGTATCATACAGTCCTTATCGGTGAGCTGGTGCTCGAGGTCGATGATGCGGTCGCGGGCCGCCTGGAGGGCGCCGCGCACCTCCGCCGCCTCGCTCTCGAGACTGTGATTGTTGTTCTCCAGCACCGAGGCCTCGAGGCTCAGGCTCCTGAAGTGATTCAGCATCTCAGTCCGCTCGTTCTCCTGCGGGATTAAGCGAAAATTCATGGATTAGGGCTCGCGAAAACTCGAAGTTTGGGCTTTTATGCGATAAGTCGGTTCTGCCGGTTAGGTGGCCAAATGGAAAAACTTAAATTAAAAACTAGTGTGTACCTTCTCGCTGAGCAGTTCCTCGGCCCTCCGCACCTCGCAGACGTAAGTCTGCAGCTGGCGTTTGAGGTCGTGTGTCTCGGCCTTGGACGCTTCGAGGTCCTTGTGCGCCTTCCTAACCTCGCAGCTCACGGCCGCGAGATCGTCCTGGATACGGTGATTCTGCTGAATCGCGTTCTCCCGCTCGCAGGTCGCGCTCGACAGCTCCCGTTGGAGGTTCTTCATCTCGAGCTGCATCGAGTGCATCTGGCGCTCCATGTCCGCTGCTTGATCGATGTACAATCTGAAATGGTCAAGGAGCAATGGGTCGTTTTCACTCTGGGCTTATTCTTTCACGGGCACCAGCCATATTCGTCTTTGCAAAACGAATTTTTCAAGCAGGATGAGAGCGACGGCAGGGTGATGTAGGGCGAGGGGATGGGAGGGAGTGAGGTAGTGGGAGGGGGCAGTGGAACGAGCCGATAAAACAAATTCGAGTTACGAGTTTACGCGGGCTCGACTTTATGGGGCGGCGTTTCGCGCTATAAATATCTCACTCGCGAGGCACGCAATGCTCTCCCGTAATTCCCCATTACGTAAGATCGCGGTCATTTTTATGCATTATATAAGCGTTAATAGGATCGGCTGGAGGTAAGAGATAGGGAGTAGGGGGACGCGAGCTCGATTCTAATGGCCGCTTAGCAGAAAATCGTTAAAAGGCTAAGGATATGATGGGCGGTTGTAAGGTATGGGGGGGGGGAGGAGGAGGAGGAGATCACGCTTGTACATTTGGTTAGACTAGGGATTGCGAAGTGTGCGGTCGTTTAGGAGTCGCTGAAGCTTTTGCGGGTGAGCGACTTGAGAGGTTGGCTCATCGCCTAAGTAAGTAAGGATTCGTTCGTTATTCACTGGCCGTTTAAAGTTTTTTCTACGACGTTTAAAGGCAAAGTTTAAATGAAATGGAAGCCGATTGAAAGGGGTTGTTGGCAATTAATCGGTACTCTCAATTTGTAATGGCATTGAGCTTTGTGAGTTTTTTTATTTGGTGTTGTTTTTTAATGCTTCGAAAGTAGCTCTCTGAACAATAACGGCGCTAATTATTATGAAGCACGCAACCTCAAAAGGCTTTTCTCATGACACTAAAGATTTATGATCAAGGCCGACGCGAACGATAAATTGTTACAACGAGTGGTCTCGTTGCTTGCAATAATTCAGGAGCGTATCCCACCCCCTCGCCCCACCCACCAACAAGTTGAGAAGCCATCTCTGCCTTGTGCATAAATTACGGAGTATAAATATGAGTGTCAAGGATGACTTTGGGGCTGTGGTTTGGAGGATGTCGAGGGACGCTTAAAGCGACAAAGATCCGCCGAATGGTCGGATGAATCACACGTCGCGAGTGATTCATGGTGTGACGGACCTATCGCGCATTCCGCTACTCTCGCCGACTTTCGAGAAGATCGGCTGGTCGTACAATCGATTCGGGATGAAGCACAATGCGATGGTACTTTTGGTTCCCGGCAAATATCATGAAACTTTTGGAAAAAAAAAGTTCGGAATGGAGACGGGTCAATTGCCTTTGAATGGCGAATCGATTATCGGTACGTTGGAGTGTATAGGTGAATTAATTAAGAGCAGTGCCATAAGTTACAACGAAAGCTTATAATGTAAGGTAGCACGGGGCTGTCAAAACTTTTGATGAATAATTGAACAACGCAATACCAAGAGTGGAGATGACGCTTATTGGTATTTTCTAAATTAGATAAGAATTTGAATTTTACGGAGATTTAAATTCCAAAATTCTCATGGGAATGTTTTCTCTCTTTTCTCTTGTCTTTCTTTTCTTTTTTTTTATTTTTTTTTCTTTTTTTTTCTCTTTTTTTTGTTTTTTTTTTTGTTTTTTGTTTTTTGTTTATCGATGAAATGATCACAGACCGAGAAGATAAGATTGCATTCTGATGTCAATTCCATTCGGTCTGAGCTGGCTACGATCACGGGACTTCCCACTTACAATTTCGAAATGCGCGAGGTGGATTAAGAAAACGTGGCCTCTCTTTTTGGTGCCATTGTTACGGGCGCATAATGGATTTTGTAAAATTCAAGTCAAAATCTTGGCCATTGTCGTACGCATCGAGTATTTGCTGTACACCGTAATTGATAAAACTGTATTATTTTTTAATGGCTATTGACGATTTTTACGATCAATGAAATAGTCATACTGCGGGACCAAGGATTAGCGTTTGAAGACACCCAGCTAGTTAATAAAATTATTAGTACTGATTCAGTGGGACACTCCCATCCGCAAGGCAAACAAGAATATCATCGCCATGGAGCATTGTATAAGATTAAATTCGTTTCCACCTGTCGCTTATCTCCGCCCATCCCTCCACTCCGCGCCCGGAGAATTTCTAAACCACAAAAGTCCAGTCGCACAGGAAAAAGAAAATAAGTACGCTCGATTGTCGTGGAGTGAAACGAGCTGTGCCGCAGAACCACAAAAATGCCATTTACATGATCGCGCACGGGATTTTCCATCTTGTGCAACCCGTTCCTATTTGTCACGTATCCTGGAATTCTCGTTCACATTGCGTCAAGTTTACCCATTTACCATCTCATCGTATCATTCAACGTCAAAAGCCGAAATCCAGAAGGATCATCCGTTATCTTCTTCTATCGAACGCTAAGCGTAGACACGCAACATCTTTGGCTTTAATGGATAATTGATTTTTTAAGATTTAGCGTTTCTTATTAATAGAGGCTGCTATTGTAGTCGGGCACCGCTCATTTCATGGATTATCTCGCTTCAATTTCCATCCAAATGCATTCGAGCGACGCTATTCCAATCCGATTATCGCTGCTTGGAATTCTACTTTCGCATCTCCAACGGCCGTGTGCACACGACTTAAAAATTATGACGACGTCACCACCATCGGCTCTATCTATCTCTTAAACTTATAGCTTCTTAAACATAAATTTCCGTTGAATTACTTGGGATTTCAATACGGCTTCCCTTGATCCCGAACCCGTGATTAGCAACTAAACGATGATTATTAATGACGATTATTAACGAAAACATGTGTCTAATAATTAATGGCAACGATAACGCTAATGAAAGTCGAGTTTGCCTTGCGAACCTAATCGGTGATACGAGTTTACGTGGACCGGGAAGGGATTGGGGGAGGGGGATAGCGGAAGCAGAACTGGTCGCTGGCATCGGCTTCCGCGGGCCGGAAAAGCCAAATGCAGCAAGAGCGAGGTGGACCCGAGCAGACCTCGTTACGTACGTCGTCCAAGTTGCGCAACGAGCAAAGGTCGCGCGGGTCCTCGAGTCCCGAGTGACAAGGACACGAGGAGCTGCCGTAACCCGCGCCAGTGTAACGATCCTTTGGAATTGGAAAGCTTGGCTGGGACAGGAGACCCGCATTGTTGTAATGCGCCAATCCTTGCTTAACTATACGCGTACTTAACTATAGAGGCGTTCGCCGTTAAATTGGTTCGAGTTTAATAAGCCCAAGGATGGGTTTAAGCCGCGTAGTGATCGAGAAGTCGGCAACCGGGCTGGCATTCTATTTCCGATTCGATGGGATTAGTAATGTGACGTAAACGCATCCTGGATAATATAGTTGTGACGATGTTTCTCGGTATGGTGATTCGGGATGCTAATGGGACAATAACGCGAGTCGATGTGACTTTTCGCCTTTCGATCGTCGCAATCGATATTTATGGGCATTCGATTCGCGTATCTTTATCGAGCGTTTATCATAAACGGATGGGGTGCGGGTGGGGGTGGGGGTGGGGTGGGGGGGGGGGGGGATATATCTTGGATCACCGCATAAGCTAAAGAGAAATTGCGACTAAAGTGGCTTCGACGTAATATATAATTCACGCTTTTACCAGCGACGATATATCAAAATTCCAGCCATCGTAACTATCGATATTTTATAATTAGATCCTCTTCTCTAGTCTGTGATAAACAAATGGATTAATTAAAAAATTTATATTTTCTAATAGGTATGCGTAATCCATGCGTATTTAATGGTTATTAATTCATTGGTTAGTTTTTATAAGCGTATAATCGATGTTTAGATAGTCGATAAAAGTATCGCTGTAGCGATTATTAATAAGATTTATGTTTATTTCTAGTGAAAATAAGCGGCTATAGAACAAATAAAATGTGTATCTCATAAATATTAAATTTTGCTTACCAACTCTCGGTCTTTATCTTTAGTTCATTCTTTTTTGGAAAGGCAACCAACTTGTCGTTTTGTTATTCACCAACATTTCTCTCTTACATTTTAACGCGATATTACAATTATTAAATATAGAAGAACAAAAAGGATGGAAGCATTAGTTTCACAAATAAGTTTTTATTCGTGGAAATTGATAGCTCGCATAAGAAAAGGCAAATAAAACCATTATAAGACTACACTTGATAATCATTTCTCTTAATGTAGATTTCTAATAAAGGAGCATATAAAAATAAAAGGAGATGTAGAAAGTGACTATGCTAATCACTGTAATCAACGCACAAATTCATAATTCAAAGACGCATTGCGGTATAAAAATTTAATAACATTTTACTGGCTATGAAGCTTATGTTCGGCCACGCATCTCATTACGCGCACAATATATTTACACACCGCTAATTGATTTACACCATAATAATAACGACATTGGCAGCCAACAGTAACAGCATGCCTATATATATAAATATATAAGAGCCATTGAGCCATACGACTGATAAAAAATTACAACTTCCTGATGCACGCTGATGTTAAAAATAAACGATGTCAATGTCCGATGTTTGAATTTCACCGATAAAGTTATTACTTATGTAAGATTGACTTTTCCTTTCTCA